TCCGGTGACGCTCCGGTCAAACAGCGCTGCAGGCTCCCAGAGGCCTCGACTGACCCTTCTCACGAACCGTCCAGGAGTGGACGCATGGGTGAGAGCGTGGGTCATCGTGGCCTCCGCCAGAGTTATGCCGTGGCCGAGATGAACCTGCAGCATGACAGGCAGTTTCAATATACAAGAAGAGGGCTCTCTCTATTCCCCTGTAGAGCTGCTGTAATTTTGACCTGTATGACCTAAGTTTAAAAAAATCGGTACGCCATTGCTGATATCAAAATAAGCAGTAAAAAAGGGAATATGCAAACAAAAGATGGGTTTTTATTTCTCTACAGTACTCGTAGCATAATGCTATTCATCAGATGACAAAACCTTCTGTAATCACCGTTTGTTAAAATTAATTATTTTAAAGTAGAAAAGAAAGACCACGTATGCCACACACTAGTATATTACTATAGTAATACAGTAGAACCTCAGTTTATTGAAAATCCAGGATAACTAGTAGACTTTCTATGGTCCCATATAGTATCAAGTGTAAATATGACCAAATAAGATGTATGACCAGAGCGCACCTACCCATTTTGTTTCTGGACTTTCGTCGGCCCGGCTCATTTTTTACATGCTAAGTGGCACAAATCGGCACCCAAATGCAATAGCGAAAACATACATGGCGAGTTTTCGTCATTCCGTTGCCTGCTTGCATGCGAATCCATGCATAAAAGTTATTTGTGTGCTTTTCTGCTTTTTCCATTGTGATCTGGGAGTCAGTGATGTCAATCTCATGTGCGATTGTAGTGCGGAGGGAACCTGCTGAAGCACGAAACCCTAACGCCGCGCCAGAAAGTGGGCCTCACCGAGAAAGCAGAAAGTTTGCATTTTCGAGAACGAAGCTTGCCGAGAAACATAAGCTGCCTCTCGACAAGGACGACAATTCTCTAGGCCTGTAACAAGACACTCACCAAAGCGTTCACTAATTTGTCTTCCTACCTATGCCGAGGTGGAAGGCGCCTTGATCACCTGGCAGACATGCTATGCAAACACTGAAAGTGATATTGCTGGGAGTGTGGCTGTTGAAACCCAAAATGACAGCGACTACGAGTTACCCGTGCCTTTGCTCTCGGAGAAGTCGTGCAATTGCTAGGGGTTGTCTGCAGTTTTTTAGAGTATGTATATACGGTGGCTCTACGGAAACATTTGCCCAATCGTCATTTTTGAGAACACGATAAGTATAACCAACCACAGGAAGCGTTAAGCAGATTGATGATTACTTCATGTAAATGCATCATGTTTTGCAATAAAAAGTTTTTTAAGGTTTCCCGCACATGATTTTGGTTCTTTTATTTTTTTTTCGTATAATTTTAAATCCCGCTTAATTGGAATATCTTTCTCAGTCCAACAGACTTCGAATTAACGAGATACTACTGTATGTCCAGATACCATCAGCTATGCAAAACTTGTAAATGCGTCGTATGTCAAAAAACAACTGCAACCAAAAAAAAAGAACTTTTGTAACAGTGCGTATACCACACGCATGTTGCAAACGTGCATTTTCCTTGAAGAAACGATTTAGCTCACTATTTATGCGGCACAATGGAATTTACATTAGCAGTCTACCTCTCCACTCCTCTCTGTCGCACTTGTTTGCACCATGTTGGTATGGTTACAGTAAAATGAAAGAGGATACATGAAAGAAAACACAGATTACTGCAAAATTACTCACACCCTGAATATTGTTTTCATTGTTCTCCATGCAAAATAGATTTTTGAAACAACTTTTCTATCCGGGGGGGTACAGCATCCCTCTTACTACTTGCATTTTTTATAAGATTTATCCTCTATTCTTTTGGCTTTATTCTTTTAACCAGGCAACAGTTTGCCACTGTATCACCAGTAATGTTAGCACTGGTAATGAATTTGATTAGCCCCAAAGTACCAGACTTAGCAGGACGCATGGTTATTAATTTTGTGGACTGGTTAGTCACGAGTTCTCAACCCTAACAGCACAGATTTTCAGGTAGTAGAGCTTTTGGCATTTGTCTGTGGTGTGACCGAGTAGAAGACACAATATTTTGTTACATGGAGGTGGCTGCAAGCACCCTCCGTTATGCCTATATAAGTGGTGCACCTTGCTCTCAAAAGCCCTCGATCCAACTTACCTAGTGCTGGCACTAAAAAATGCAAACTTATTTAATTAAGCTTTTCCACACCACATATTGAACCGTTTGCCACCTGAAAAAATAATAAATGCACTTACAGATCTACAGCAAATACCCATTCTGATTGGTTCATTAGACAACGTAGACATACCATACTATACTAAAAGATAGCCACCTCAATTTAAGAGCAAACTAAGTGAAAATAATGGGAAAGCTAACTTTTAGAGCTTGATAAAAAATATAAAAATCTTGTTGCAACAAAGCCAAGAACACATACACTTTTAACAAACTTTAAAGCCTGCGGATTTGCAGTTGAGTTGGCAAGATGAACTACCTACTAGTGAATTACATTATGCTATTTTAGACGCAGTGGGCCGTCAAGCCTGTTATGGCTGCAAGGGTTAACTGAATGAAGGATAACTGTCGTTTCCAGCCCTCGTGGCTTGCTCACCTCCCCTTGTGGCTTGCCCCGTTTCTGCGGAGGTGACCATTGGACTACCTTTAGGTGGTGGGGCATCTCTTAGGATACTAAGATGCATACGTAAAAAGCTTGCCTAGGTATTAGCTTTGTTAATATAATCAATAACACTTTTGTTCCAAAAACTGTCCTTTTAATGAAAACATTTAACAAAATCTTTTGTAGGCTCTCATGCATACTTGACCATCCAGGACAGCAAGAAGCGGAGGATAAGGAAGATCCCCAGACTCCCCACAGCCAGCAGCCCTGGCATCACCTAGAAGTGCAAATTGAAAATTCTCAACATCAGTAACTTTAGAAACCTAGCTGGCTTTATGAAATTAAGGAGTTATATACAGAAATGAAGGACAGTCTACCCCGGCTGTAACTTTACCTGCCACTCCAAAAATGTAAGAGTGCAGTTAAATAACTTGAATTGCAAGCCTCTGCAGTCAGTTTCTGGGAGCAAAATCTAACTTTTGTGCTTGAAGCAACACAAATGTCTGTGCCATTAGGCAGGGACGCTAGGTACTTCCATGCCTCCATGGAGCTGGTCTCGTGAAATAAAATACCTGCGGCTAAGTTGGCCGCAATTGGAGCAGCAGCTGCGAGATGAGCAAACCGGCCCTGGGTGGCGATGAGAATCGAAGAGCAGACCTAGTGACCCAAACGCCGATGCGTTACTTTAGGGCTCCGAGGGGGAGCGGAACCAGCTGGGTTAAGGATGACTAGGGCGCCTCTATGTTCTCCTTGCATTATTCTTTGTAGTACCTGATCAACAGCACATACTCGTGGAGAGAACACAAAGGGATAGCACAACACAAGTGCTGCTGTAGTGCAGGCAAAATATGAGCTCAAACCTGAGACACTCACATGCTCCAGAGCAAAGAGAAAGAAGCATTGCAAAAAGTCAAATTCACAAACTTGTGTTGCATCCAACCGAGTGCGACTGCAACCACTTGCAACGCTTAAAACAAGATGGCGGCGTCTGTGAGATGGCACCAACGGCAGTGTTGGGAACGCACTTACTGTATCAAAATGCATTCAGACATAACCGCAGATGCCATTCACTGCATTAAACAGTAAATGTGTTGGTAACACTACAGTGCTTGGAACGCGTCTTCGACAGGTGTGTTAAGACGTCCTCATTTTGGTCCCTCGATTTGCACCTTGTGATGTCACAAAAATGTCATGCTGTTGCTGGTCGTGATCTTGGCGGCGGTCCAACAGCAAAGGTACAGTTGGCAGACGACTGTTCTACCTTGTCTGACTCTGCTGCTCAACAGTTGATGGAAACTCAAGTGAACATGAGACGGGACATTCCGATAACAGCAACTATTTATGTCCGCTCATCTTGTTAGCCGGCGCCCCTAATGAGTCGACAACCAACCGCAAGGATTGCGACACCCGATAGCATGACACTTTTAGCTTTTGTGGCAAATGTTATTGCCACTTCCGGACCATTTTGAACGCAATATGGGGGGGGGGGGGGGATATAGGACAGTAAACACAACAATCGAAAACGCGTTCCAGGCACCATAGTAACACTGCCATTGGCTGAACTGCGCAGACGCCGCCATCTTGTCTTAAGTGCCGCAAGCGGTTGCAGTCGCACTCGATCACACTCAACGTAAGTGTGTCAACCAGCCTTAAGAAACTGCTTTGATGTCAGTACTCCGGAACAGATGCATACACATAGCAGGTTACTGATAGCACGCACAGTTGCCCTGAGAATGATTAATTGCAGCTCGGCACATGATCCCACAGCTGCTCGTACACTAGACTTCTGAATGAATTTAAACTTGTCTTGATCATTCTGATAATATGAGGAGAACATGAATGTGTTGTGCATGGAATGTCTGCCCGAGTTTCTATCTGAAACATCTCACAGCTCCTCGTAACTGAGCATACCCAATCATACATAATGCAGGCGTAACGCACACACCAGACATTTAATGCTTCCCGAGTTTATCGAATGATCAAGGGAAGTTTGACTATTTTTTGTTTTTCTAAACCTCGACAGCTGCACCGAACGAAAGATACTCGAGCTGTCTGTCCCTGATAATTAGGCAATGCCTAGGTTCATCAGGTCTCGTTACTGTTTTTGATAGAAAAAAGGGAGCCATTAAAATACTTCAGTCCTGTTAATAGGCTCATAACGGACCTACATCTCTTTCCAATAGCAAAACAAAACTTGGAGACAGAGAATCCCTCAGCTCCATTAGAAAGAAATAATAATTGTGCAATTGCAGTGGTCATACTGGCCTTGTATAGTGACATGGATGTTGTTGCTACACTCTATGTATGTTAGTACTACGAAATACATTCCTCTTTGGTGCTTATACGAGGTTGACCCACACATTATTTATGAATGAACTGTAGTTTTTCATGTTCAGCTAATTTACATTGTCAGCAAACTTACTGTGTGGTTCAGCAGGAGGAACCTCCTCAGACTCTGTAGCCTCCACAGGGAGCGGGGATAGGTTCCCTGCAGGTTGCAGATGGGAACACTCCTCGGAGTCTGTCAATTCTTGCGTGCTGCCCGATGCCCCAGTTGTGCTGTACAGCATTGTAGACACACCTGAAAACAAAAATTCCAAGGTCAAATTTGACTGATCAAAAAGCGATCAAGCGTGTAAACCCCAAAGGGAATACCTGAAAAGGGGCATAAATATATTCTCCAAAAAAACACAAACTTATTTATTGTAATTGAGCATGACAACCAATTCAAAACGTAGCATAGCAAGTGGCACACAAAGTATGGATATAGCTAATTGTACAATGCAAAGTATCTCAACCTGGTCGACACACAGTAAAAAGGGATAATCCAGGTGTGTGGATCCTCTACAAACGAAACAAAACAACAAGGAAAGGTGGAAAGCGGCTATAATTATCACTTTACACAACAGTGAAAAGGCAGGAAGAAGATGGGTTTGCACCAGAGTGACGGTGGCCACCCGTTGGGCACATCATATTATTGGTTTTAGCAGGGAATTTAGCGTCACCTTGATGCAATACAGTAAATTCTCACTTGAGCGAACTCAAGGGACCCAAGGAAAAAGTTCACTTAACTGAAAGTTCACTAAAGGCGGCTGGCATCGAGGCTACTTGAAGGATTATACGGCGTGCAAGTTCGTCTGCTTCCTGTGCACGTCGTGCTTTACTGAATACCTTCACTAGAACATAGAACAGCATAGGGCACAGCATATATTGAGTCAAAAGTGTGAAATGTAATTTATGAAGTAATGTACATTGATATATACAAAGTGCATAACAGTTATGATGCTGCCTTTCTCATTTAAAAAAAAATCTAATTTTCATTTGCACCGGCGCTCTTAATGCGCATGAAGTAACAAGGCTGTCCAGAGAGTCTCTGTTTTTTTGCACTTCCTCGAGAATAAAAATAAAGTTTATTCTCTCTCTCTCTCTCTCTGGCACAGCTTGTTGCTGCGACAAAGCCATACCACAACAATATCGTCCACTGACTGGAAATATCTCGTGCAGAGTCATTTGCTATTGAAATTGAGGCGCAGTTTCTCCTTCAAGCTTTGACTTTTGCTTCACTATCGTTCACAACGTTGACGGTGGAATCTCATAGTCCTTCGCAACGTCCACTTGCCTTTCATCATTGTCCAGACACTGAGGAATTTTGAGCTTGTGTGATAAAGACAACCACTTCCGTCTCGTTGTGCTCGTTACGAAAGTGGGCGCACAAACTGCCGTCCTACTGTTGTTACCCACAACAAAGATGGCCAAATGCAACCGACGAAAAGAAAAAACAGACGCACCACATGGTTAGTTTTCGTCTACCGCACCGCCGCTTTGCTTCGGCAGTACTGTGAAAGCCAGCGATAATAGGCGGGCATCGGCTACGCCAGCACTGCAGAGCACAAAACTTCAGTGAACTGATTGCAAAAATAATCCTGGGACCATCGATCAAGTTTGTTGAACTGAAATATTTGCTATTCAGAATTTGTTTTTCGTTAAACTGAAACATTTTTGCATAGAATGCATAGGAGAAGCGCCGGTGATTTTTTTAAGGTTCAATATCCTGAAATATTTGTTAAGTTGACGCTCGCTCAAGTGAGTTTACTGCATTTAGGCTGCTGTCTTATTTCGTGCCACTAAAGTGATATCGGCCATTTGTTTTCGTTTAACTTCTGATCGGAGTTTCCATTTGGCTTCATACTTTCAGCAAGTTACATACTGTAAAGTAATGAATATTGCGAGTCTGATATGAACCAAGAAAGCATGTCTACTTTACCTCAGAGCACATGAACAGCCAGTCACTGCCATGTACAGAAATGGCCCATTGATTGACAATACACTGATAACAGATATACTTAAAAAAATCATCTGTGTCAAGACGCTCAACGCTGTCAACAGCTTGTCATTCGCTGCCCTTCCTGCGAACAGAAGTGACGCTATTCACATGATCTGCAGTAAAGTAGACATGCATTCTTTTTAGTATCTTGCAGTACTTTGCGCAAATGAAAAAGTATTTCTGTCCTCATTTCTTCACAAAATTTAAAGAATTTGTAAAAACAAAATTTTTAAAAGTGAAAAAAAAAATGTCTGCAAACCATGTTAAATACATGACGCTGACATATGTAGCACATAAGGAACATCTAATTTTTGTAGGCACATTTGAAACCTTGGATCCTTTTTTTCCATGTAACTCCTAAAGAAAAGCTAACTTCTGAAACAATATCTACATCCACAATATAACAGCAAGAAGAAACTTGGGAATAATTAATGGAAACTGAAATTCAGCTATCCTGCCCTTACATCCGGCCTCTGTCATCACACGATCAGGCACCGAAGTAGGGACAGCAACGGGCACAAGGACAGGAGCAGCGACGGGGACAGGGACAGGAGCAGCGACGGGGACAGGGATGGGTGCAGCAGGCACTGACGTTCTTCCCTGCAGCTGGTGAGTGGCCTGGTGACTGGCCTCTCTGGTGATCTCTGGAGAAGGCACAGTGACCATGTGTCCATCGATAGTCACCAGGCAAGCAAAAAATTAGGCCCACTGCAATGGACCTTTTCCGAGAAGCGTTCTGCGCACGCGCGAGCGCCCGATGCCAAGCGGCGGAAGCCAGAACAAAAAATCGAGGAAATTCGGAAGGAGGCTGTATATCAGCGAGCACAACACGTAACTGAAGAATATATATAATTGTGTTACATGAAAAGAGAATGTCGACGGAAAGGAAAACACGACGTTTAGGTGGATGCCACAGATGCCCCTCTTTGAAGTCGCGTAGGGCACGCGCCGCTGCTCGGAGAGCGAAGAAACTGGTAGCCTAGCTCCCTATATCGATTGGTAGCGCAGGAAGGTCACTTCCTCGATTTTTAGTTTGTGCAGCCACCGCCTGGTGCCGTCGGTATGTGGAAAAGGTCCATTGTTAGCCATAAGGGTGCATAATCCTAAAGCACAATTGCGAAACATTCAAGTAAACATGACGGGTAGCTTACCGATCTTGTCGAGGACGACACGCATCAGTCGGAAGTTGGAATCCTCTACTTCCTTTAGTTTTTTTTGCAGCTGCTCAATTTTTACAAGAGCTGCGTCATGTTCGGCTTTCGACACAACGCCTTCGGCACATGGGGCACAAGCCTTTTCCTCCGCCTTGCGGAGCCTCTTCCGCAGAGATCGCAGAGCTTCTTCAGCCCTATCCAGCTCTGACTTCGGCACAACTGCAGGGTCCTCGTCGTCGGTTGAGTCTCCTCCTAAAGGCCTCTTCTTACTTAGAATGCTCGCCATCTGTTTCCTCTTGGCAAGAGCCTTGCGTTGTGTCAAGTTCTTGCTGGACGCAGAACCTGATGTTGATGCCTAAAATATACAAAATACAATACAATATTGTGGAAGTGCCCGGGTCCGCTCAAAGTGGAACCGTTTTGTAATTACCATTTTCCACTGCCCTCTTTTGTGGAACTTCGATCTTAAACAATTTATTTTCCACCTGATAGGTCTATCTACTACAAACTAGCTTTCCTTTATTTTTTTCGCTGGCTCGACAAAATACTTCTAGACATCCCCAAGACTTCATTTCAGGTTTTTAGCATTACAAATCGCGAATAATGACTGAAGTAAGGTATCAAATGTCATAATCACAATAACCAACTCGAAACAAAAGTCTGTGTCTGCAACAGACCCACTTACTTGCACTGGTTCCTCAAAAATCTGGGGAATAACCAGTCGCTTCTTGTGGGCCATCTCCTCGAGAAGTGCCCTCTTCGATTCTGGTGAATAAAAGATAAAAAACATGTTAACAGAGCCACAGAACAGATAGGTCAGTCTGACATGACAGGGTCAGGAATACTGATGGCATATCAGCCACTAGTGTTAATTTAATGCTGTAGTAATTTTACACCACCAAGCTTGAACTGCACAGTTTGCAAGAAGTAAAACAACCGCCAACACTGCAGAATGATGTCACGTGCAAGCCACATATAAATCCATGGATTCAATGACAGCATTTCAATTATAAGAGAAAAATAAGAAAAGTTAGCGGTCATGTGATTGTGCTGTGTTATGCCCTGTACTCTGCTGATAATCTCTGCCCAAAACATTACAATTATTTTAGTAAGTCACTGGAAGCTGCATTTACGTCACACATATTCTTCCTCTTAACAAATGCATCAATTATTTGTAGGTGCTCAGACTACCAATCCTTGTGGAAGTTGCATCTTTTTTAATTTCAGTGAAAAAATTTAGAGTGTGCACTACCAGTGTAGATGCACTCACATTCGGTTTCAAGGGAAACCGAAGTGGTTCTGTATTTTTGAAAAAACACATGGATCATCTTCTTTGGCCTCTAGGACCATGAATATCGAAATTATTTTTCAATCTGATGTAGGAAGCAGTCGCACAGCATTTTGAAAATAGCACCGAAGTCCCGCCCTCTTTGAGCATGACATCACACCCAGAGTTCTTGGAACCTCCGCTCGCTCGTGCCTTATTGAGCACCCAACATAGTCGTGCTCGCACTCTTGATATTTTCAGAAAGGTCAGCAAAAAAACATCACAAATGGTGTCACGTGTGGGGGAATATACCTGGTAAGCTTGCAATTGCACGTGCTGCCCACATGAGTGACATACACTTGGTAATCAAAAGATCTGGGTGTGCCGTAACGGCTGGCGGGAAATTTTTCGAGTTTTCTTGTGTTCAGTTACATCTTCAGGGAAAACGAATGTGATATTTGGATTCACGGGATAAAAATATGCTACAATCTGGCTCTAACTCTCCTCAATGGCCAGCGACTCGAGGATCTCCCTTCCAAGCTGTTTCCGGTGTTGTGCGACGACAGTGATGTTTGTGAAGTCAGGAGCACATTTGCATTCCCGATAATGCGCCGAAAGGTGGCCCGCCGACATTAGTGTGGCCACAGAGGCTGCATGTTCTCTGGTGCGGTCGTTTATGCACCTCCCTGTTTGCCCTATGTAGCTTTTGCCACATGACATGGGAATATGTGATAGGTGAGAAGCTTTGTAAGCAAGTGCGACATAATCCGGAGAAAAATGAACCAACGAAAAAGAAACCACCAAAGCCTTTCGTAGTGGTACCATATATACACGGGATCACTCATCGTCTAAAAAAGATCGCTGGCCGACAAGGCATCCACGTCGTGTGCTCAGCCCCCAACAAGGCGTACGCCACATGCCGTAGGGTGAACCGGGAGACCGACCAGAACGTGACGACGACCTCCGGCACTGCGCATTGAACACCCTATGCCCCATGCGAAAAAGGAGTCGTATACAATACCCCTATGTCATGTGGCAAAAGCTACATAGGGCAAACAGGGAGGTGCATAAACAACCGCACCAGAGAACATGCAGCCTCTGTGGCCACACTAACGTCGGCAGGCCACCTTTCGACACATTGTCGGGAATGCAAATGTGGTCCTCACTTCACAAACATCACTTGTCGCACGACACCGGAAATAGCTTGGAAGGGAGATACTTGAGTCACTGGCCATTGAGGAGAGGGGGGGAGAATGCGTAAGTGTCGCCTCCATTGCGCTCTTGCCAAAAGAAAAAATATATCCGCAGGGAGTGGCCCCTCGGAGCAACCAAGTCGGGACTATTTGAATGCCAAGATCCGACGGAGGAAAAAGAAGTTGACACTACCGAAAGTGTAGAAAAAAAGAAAGTTTTGTAAGATCCGACAGCTGAAGAAGAGGTAAACTCTACGGTTAGTGTCGAGAAAAAGGAAGTTTCAGTCTAAGATCTCACAGATGAAGAAGAAGACACCTTTTAGGATAGTGTTGAGGAAAAGAAAGTTTTATTAAAAGGTTGATAGTCCAGTAGTGTGGTTCTTTGTTTTTTTTCTCTCCATCGCTTTTTCTAAACGTTCAACTGGTATTCAAGTAAGCATAAAAAAGATATGCCGCAAATATTGCCAAATGCCTCGACAAAACAAAATGTTCGAGAAAAAAAAGAAAGAAAGTGGGCCCACACCGCGGATCGAACCCGCCCCCACTTGCGTATGAAGCAGAAACCTTGCCACTATGCTTTGCCACCGCTTATTAGAAAACGTGTAACTATTCGTTTTATACGAGTTTCGCGTAGTGCGTACACCCTTTTCCGGTCGAGGTGCAGGACGGAGTCCGAATAACTTTACTCATTAAAAGTAGTTACGTCGGAAGTAACGCTGGATATTGCTCTTATCACAATCGTATGTTAAGGAAGTACGACTTCCCAGTATTGCAATCGAGTTCTGAGCTACACAAACCGCACACACTTCCTTTGAGGAAACAGATCAGCGCAGAGCAAACACAGAGGAACAGCAAAGGCCAGCTACTTACTTGCAAGAAGGACCACTTTCGCCTCGTAGTAGCCTTCTTCAAGGCCGGCCTCGGAGCGCCAATACGCTTGCACCGATTCACTAGGGATGTCAGTCTCCGTTTTTGGATTATAATCCTTGATCAGGCACACAGGCATGATCGCCTTCTCTTTGTCGGCGGGGTAATGTACGTACGCGTAGAACATCGCGAAAACAGAAGAAACATACGAAAAGAAAGTCAAAAGAATAAAGCAACGCTTGCTGGGCTACTAGAAAAAAAAACGCACAACGCACAAAACGAAGTGCACAAGATAGAACGGCAGTAACACAAAAAGGTGAAAACAACGATACCCAAATCAAAGCAGAGGTCCTGTTAGGACTAGGAGGCACAGGCAAGAGCAGAGCCAGAAAGGAAAGCCGCTCGGGCAACTCCGAAAAATAAAGGTGGATTGGATTGGACGGGATTGTAATGAGCCTGGAATATCTCTCTTGAAAACAGAAGTGAAACTGCTGTAACATGATGGTATGTTATTGGTGTTTATTCGTTGGAAGAAAATCCTAAATATCTTCAAGGCTCATATTAATTATTAAAAATAGTAGAACTTATTAAATATTATTTTTATGACCTCTGAAACACCATACAGCCGTCGATTTAACGAAAACTTGAACTCGCGAAGTCGTCGGAAGTAAACCCCTCACGACTGCGAGCAACTCCCGAATTCTCGGCGCGAAAAGATCGTCTGCTATACTCCTCCCCCCCCCCCCGGGCCCCTCACACACACACACACACACACACACACACGCACGCACGCACAATTCCTCAATTGCAGCGAAGCGAATTTGCGCGGTGCTTCGGGGGCGCTAAAAATTAGATTAAAATGTGACCAAACAGCGTAGCTTCGACGCTGGCCATCGCCCTGGCTTATTATAGATTCGGTCTTCGGCTCTGACTGCGTCTGCTAGTTTGTCCCACCGCGGTGGTCACTGGTCCGCTCGGCTCAGTGGCTCGGCTTGTTGCGTTTCTCGGTTTGCATTGTTTTCCTTGAGGTTGTTCGTTGTTCCGCACAGTGCTCTCAGTTTCGACGCTCGGCAACTCGTATTTGTTGTTCGCCTTGGAAGTGTGGTCGGGTTTGTGTTTCTCCCATTGGCTCTTCTATTAATTGCTCCGTATTTACATGGACCATTTTTAGGCGGAGTATTTGTGCGTGACTTTCGCTTTCGTCGTCTGCGTTACTTTTGATCGCTCGAAACTCGAACTGGTTCATTTTTTTTTTTTTTTTTTAATTTTATTTTGTGCGTCAGTCGCGTCATTTGCGTCATTCTGCTTCTCGCTCCCCTCTGTTCCTCAGCAATTCTACATTTTTCTTTCCTGTTGCCTGTTGTTCGTGCGCGTGTTCACAAGCCTGGTTTGATGGCTGCGTTTGCTCCGTGACTTGTTATCATGGCTAGTAGTGAAGCAACTCGGCGTCGACGATTTGTTTACTTAGAGAAGGGCGCGTCTTTCAAGAAACCAAAGTCCACTCTGTCTCGGTGTAAGAAGGCTGTGCCAAGCGGGAACCAATCAGCAACAGCCGGTTCTCCCGTCTATGATGTCCCCAGCGATGGTGACGAGCTCGAGAGTGACTGTGATTCCTGCAGCAGTGACCCTCAGTCGAGAATCACTGCGGAAGACGCTGGCTCTTCAGAGAGTAACGGAGAGGAGACTATGACTCACCAGTCACATGCAGATTCTTCAACCTTTTGGGAACAGACCGAGCGACCACCACATATGAGTGAAGAACATGCACTGGCAGCAGGCTTACGAGCTTTTGGAACCCAAACTCTGCCCCATTCGACAACTACCAAGGCAGCAGCTGTTGCGATGATTATGGCGTTTGTGGCTGGTGAAGCCTTAAGCTGGCAGGGCATTGACAACCTTCTTTTGATGGTCAATGCATTCTTTGCTCCAGAGCAGTCTGTGCTCCCACAAAGCAAGTACCTGTTCCGAAAGCTGTTTGCAGCCGAGGCGGAGTCCGCAGCTGTACGACATTTCTACTGCCGGTCATGCAATGATCTCTTGGAGGTTTCCGCTGAAGATGGCGTCTGTCCCACCTGCGAGACGTCTAGCAACCTCAAAGATGCAAAGAAAGATGGGGCTTTCTTCGTTGTTCTAGACATTGGCAAGCAGCTGAATCATGTCAATCAGAACAACAAAGCAGCCCTTCACGAAAAGCTGAACCAGATTGCCAGTGACCGGGGTGCTACCACCAGTGTCATCGGTGACATCACTCAAGCCAAAGCGTACAAGAATCTGCAGTCATCGGGGACCCTGGGGGACAGTGACCTCATGTTGACAGTGAACACTGATGGAAGCCCCGTATTTACATCTTCCGGTGCATCCGTCTGGCCCATTCAGTTCACTGTCAACGAGTTGCCAGTGCCTCAACGATTCCAGGTTTCAGTGCTTGCTGGACTTTGGTTTGGGAACTGACACCCCAACATGACTTTGTTTTTTGGAAAGATTGTAGAGGGTGTCAAGAGCATGCAACCCGTCCCCTGGCAGCATGAAGGCACACAGCACTCGTCTAGAGCGTACATCTTGTGCTGCTGCGTGGATGCCCCCGCACGCGCATCTGTGCAGAACATGGTACTGTTCAACGGGTACTACGGGTGCCCATGGTGCCTAATCAAGGGAGATTACGTTGATGGTACGTATCTATCTGACCTTTGGATGTAAACGTTCTACCACTGCAAGTTTTGTATAGTCATTTCAACCTCATTTTCAGGGAGCCTCAGATTCCTCTCCTTTGAGGATGCACGTGGGAGGACGTCAGCAGGTGTCCTACGGGACATGAAGGTGGCCCTGGAGTCCTCCTTGGTCATCAACGGCTACAAGGGTCCGTCTCCAGCCGTGAGCCTTCCAGACTTTGACCTGGTGTGGGGGTTCACGGTGGAGTACATGCATGCTGTACTCCTGGGCGTCATTCGCCAGATCACAGAGATGCTGCTGTCGTCTGTAAACTCCAACGAGTGGTTCTACATAGGTAAGATGGCAGGAATACTCTTAACTTTTAGTAAAGGTTTTCATGGGAAAGTTGTTGATCATTTCACTATCAACCGGGTTCTATAAATTCACAAGAGGATGTTGCAAACGATGGCTTATACAAGCCACCATTTGCAGCATCAATCACTATATGCATTTATAAAACTGGGGATAGTGAGATTATTGACAATTGACATAACATTCACTATCACATTTTTTTGCAAATGTGCCTGTAAAATACTTCGATTTTATGTATATTATAATCCTACATTTTAAAATGTTTGTAAAACATTTATGAAAGATGCAGCAGTTTATTTATTGACTATTGCAAATGTTAAGGCTTTTGTTCTTGTATTTAGCTCAATATTTGCTCTGTTACCAGACATTGTGCTCAATGTTCTGCACCAGCCCAAAGGTTGAAAAATAAATCTTAAGTTGCTAATAGGCAAACTATGCAACCTGCATATAAATATGAAGTCACCAATGTTTGATGTGGTAGGTGGGCCTAGGGCTTCAACGTTTTCTCGGAGCTAGCCTTCTGTACCAAGGATACATACAACATAGCAAACAAACATTAATTTGTTTATGCCCGCGTAGCCATCAGCTTCAAAGGAAAGGGAAGGAAGGAACAAGACAAGCGGCTCTGATAGAGCATTTAGTTCATTGGTGAATCGCAACATAAGGAGAGTGTCAGGCAGTTTTTTAGTTACTGAGCTTTGAACTATATAACAAAAAAAAAGCAAAAAACAATTGTACTGTTACAGATCAGGCATCTTTAGTTCAGAGAGATGTAGAGGCATATGCACCGTGTGGTTGTTGAAGTTTAAAGGGAGACTTAAGTGGTTCTGTATTCAAGAAGAAAAACACTTTGTGCCCTTCAGGATCACAAATATCTAAATTATTTTTCAATCTGATGTAAGGAGCAGTCGTAACAGTGCTTTGAAAATAACGCCGAAGCCCCGCCCTCTCTGAGGCAAGTGTGAGGCGTGATATCAGATGACATTATATGCAAATGTACGGCTCGTCTGCTCATCTCTGCTTTGTTTGCTGCTATCTCCATTTGGTTTTCTGTGACTGCTCGTGGTTTTCTGCGATTGTGCGTGGTTTAATTTTGTTATTCGTTTTTGTTGTTTCGGTCTTCTGTGCCATGACAGTCTCACGATTATGCCGACCCTGTGTGCGGCTGTTGGCTCCTCTAAGGCAGCATGATTAGTTATACCACAGTCCTTAGTTATACGAAGTATTGAACTAACTATTGCTTTTTGCAAAGTCGGATGTTGCAAAATCAACATGGTGGAGCAGTAAGAATGCTGGCTTGCTCAATCCAGCATTTGAGCAGAAACTGGGTGAAAGCAATCACTGCCAAGGCCCAGTGCACATGAGAGCTGAAGTTATGGTTCAATATTTGTCTCCGCTTGTGTGCTAACCCTGCCAGTGCTTTTTTTCACCATGCAGTCTCGGCTGAAATGCTGGCTCGGGCAAGCCAGCTCTGGCCGACCTCCACATCACTTTTTATAAGCTTGACGTAAATTGGAAGCCATCATGAGAGGCTAATCACGGCAATAAATTGGAGAAAGGAAATCACGCCAGCGTAAAATAGGCCAAGCAAATAAATCTGCAGCGAATCACACAAGGATTTATGCATCTGGCAAATTCTTTGTGAAAATAATAATGAATGCAACACATCCATAGCCGATATTCACCCCAATAGGAAGCATTCAAATTATAGAACGGAATTTTAGTGGGGTCAATATTTCGTAGATCTTGCGAAGTGCGCAAGGTTAGATGCTTTTTGCTGTTAAAAAATTTTGCGATTCTGAGTGATATGCTATGTATTTGTTACCGTGGGGTAAGATATAACTGTGATCTAATGAGGTTTCCAGGAAATTGAATCATGATGAATGTTCACAGACTCACCAACAGGTCTGTGGACGTTTGCCCGCTAGTGCCATTTGGTCAGCGAGCAAGAAGTGGCAGTCGCATGGCAGCGCAATAGTGGCGCCGAGCAAGTGCCACTGCCACTTCATTCAGCACAGTCCCACATTCTCAATTTTCTCTCTTGTGTGTACCAGTATGTGTTGCCCACACGTGCATAGAATGCAATGCCGCTCGCCTGGGGCTGCAAGCATTGCCACTCCTCTGTACTCGAAGCCCCCCCCCCCCCCACGGATGTTTTCCCCACACTTCGCTAAGGGCTAAAACGCATATGGAGTCATGTAAAGAGCCCTCTATATTTGTTAAACCTCAGGTGCTTAACGGCTCGCCATTCTTTGTGTATACAAGGTGATAGGTGATTATCAGGGTCGCCATTTGAACCTGCGAGCATTCAGGAGCAATACGAAATGACCGCATAAAGCTCTGCATATAACGTAGGGCTGATTCAGCCGATGCTGACCGGTGCTCGTTTTCGTGTTCCTTTTGCATTTAGAGGAATACTTTTCGGCCAAATGGTTGACTTATCCGAAATCAGCGTGTAAAACTACGCTAGAATCCACCTCTAACTCGTTTTTTGTTAGAACCTCTTAAGTTGCCCTTTAACATACTACTGTCACTACACTGAAGCCCTTGGAACAAGTCAAAGGTGATGTCATAGCGAAATGTTTTTTTCTTGTTTGCTTAATATTGCAGGCAGCCCCTCCTCTGTTGCTGCACTAGACAGGCGCCTGCTTTCCATCACGCCTCCCCACTGTGTCACAAGGCTGCCGAGGTCCCTGGCAACTCGCACCAACTGGAAGGCGTCCGAGTAGAGGCATTGGCTCCTTTACTACTGTCTCCCATGTACACTTGGGATCCTTCATCCAAGGTACTGGAGCCACCTGGCCAAGCTTGTTGAAGGAGTGCATCTTCTCCTGAGAGAGGAGCTCACTTCGTCCTCAATTGACCGTGCAGGTGAGGGCAAACATGCTATTGCACTGTTACTACATGCAATAAACTGGCTGTGAGCATATTTTGCTCTCAGTCACAATGCTCATCCTTATTTTATTGAAGTCAGATCTGGGTGACCATTTTAAACTTCAAGGGGACATTATAATCGTTGAGTTTTGTTTACGAATGGAATGCATGCATCCTTTCTCATGATGGAAGCACTTTACCTGAGAATACTTCATATTTTGTTTATGTTGGTGGAAAAAGAAACCTTTGGGCACTTTTTAGCTGAAGGCTAAGAAGCACCCGCAATAAACATAGAAGATTCCACAGATGTTTGTAATTGTTTTTGTTATTGCATTCAAGTCTAGATTTTTTTTTCTACTTTCTTGTATAATGCCCATGCTGCCCCTCAGCGGAACATAGATAGGGATGATGATGATAACCACAGAAAAATTGGCAGTCCAGTGATAACTGACAACACGGCCAACACAACCGCTTCTCTGCCTGTCTCCGTCTAACATTGTAAACAAAAGGTGGGCCAGATACAATATCCGTATCATAGTTTTCGTTTTACTTCGTACATTATGTCTCCCCAATAGTGCCCGACCTAATTAGATGACCCACAAAAGCCAAGAATTCACGTATAAGCTGTAACTTACCTTGAATATGTCTCCGAGGTACATATTTGGATAGTGTCAACTCCCACTACAAAAAACTTCCACCTACCACTGTCTCAATGACAATACTAAAGACGTTTACTCCCAGCGACTTTTGGCTCCATATTGGTACAAACATTTATTTATTTATAACCTCTGTTGTGGGATTTCAGAGTAGATTTTGATAGGTAACTTGGATCAGTAAAATATGTATTTGAGAAAAGTCACAGCTTCACTCTTCAAGTCTTTGATTTTTGTGGGTCATTTTAGGTTTGAAATTTATTTTTGGGAACACCGGTAAAAAAGACTCGAGGTACATCTAAACACTTACGAGTTGAGAATGCGGAAGCATGAATGTCATTCTTCGTGCCACGGCCGCTTCTGGTCCCCTCGGCACCAAGGCTGCTTCTGAACCTCTCGGCGCCACGGCCCCATGTAATCCTTTCGGCACCTCTTCCATTTTTGCCTTGGCGCAGGCACGCAGTGCCATGGGGTGGTCCAAATTGAGATTGACACACGTCAGCTTCATATCATAGCCGTTTTGCATGACTTTTTGCATAGTTTCAGAGCTGGGATGCCTCAGATCACGGCTTCAGGAATTTATCTGCCGTTTGGTGCGGCTGATGACGTCTGCTCGCTCCATGGGACCAGTTAATGCTTTCACATTAATACCAAAGTTGCGCCCACCCCACCTTCAGTAAAAACTGGGTTAATCTAGAGATGGGCACTTGTCCGGTCAAATCAGGTGCTTAACGCATGATTTGCAGTATCCCCAAGTTTGGGAAGTGTTAATGGTGGGCGCTTGAACGAAGTGGGTGCTTCCACGGTATTTTTTGGTACGTACAGAGTGCGACACTGTTAGCACGAACGAGCGATCGCCGGTTTTTTCAGTTTTTCTCTTTGAAACTAAAGGGCGTCATCCAAGTTATTGCTACAAAAAGAGCTCATTTAGATCTTTAATGTAAGCAATAAAATGTTGTGCTTGCTTATACTATTTAGAGGTAAAGTGCGAAAATGCGCCGATGTCGTGTTTGCGCTAGCAGTGTCGTGATGTGTACATAGTACATAGAAGTTAAGGCAATTGGCATTGAAAATGGTCTATGTTTAAACTGAGCTAAGGAACAGAAGTCTACCTTTTGGAAAGACCGGGACTATAATTCTAATTGAGGTAAACCTGGATGATTGTGCCAATATGGATAACACTGGAAGGTGTAAAATATTGTAAAATGTTTCAGGCATTGCTTAAGAGCCATCAGAATATTGCATGCTAAGTGTCGAAAAGTCTTGGTATATTATTCTCAGTAAAGGTCCGAATAGACAGGGTGTCAACATCTTTTATGCATTGACGCTACATAATGCTTACTGCACAGCCAAGAAATTAGTTTTTTATCACCTAATACCAACCACCTTTTACTTACAGATGCTCTACTGCGGACCTTTGTAGCCTCCACAGCGACACTGTACAAGGATCAAGCCATGACGTTCAACATTCACCAGATGCTCCACCTGGCAGAGGCGGCTCGGCAGATGGGGCCGCTCTGGGACCACTCTGCCTTTGTATTT